GACTGGCGGTCATTTTTGATGTAAAATTTGCTATTTCTGATACCTAAACGTGTCCGCAGCAGTTTCTCGGAGATGACTGGGCCGATTTGGATCAAAGTTGGTATGATGATCATACATATTGGGTTGTAGGTGCACGTATTTTTTTTTTTCGTGATTCGAACAAATATGGCCGACTGGCGGCCATCTTGTTTTTCATGGTACCCATGATTCTTTATCGTGAATGCAATGAACGTTCCTGTTTAAATGTTGTACAAGACAGTATACCAAGAGATACATCTGCACCAACATAACTTATGTGATTCAATTCAATATGGCTGGCCGACGCCCAATTTTCATGTAAATCGTCATTTTTACATGTCTGCAGCTGTTTCTCAGAGATGACTGGGTCGATTTGTATCAAAGTTGATATGATGATCAAACATATTGGGTTATAGTTGCATGTCACATTTTTTTATGTGATTTAAACTAATATGGCTGACTGAACATTTCTGTATAAATTTTGTACAAAGACAGTATACCAATAGATACATCAACACAAACATTATTTATGTAATTTGATTCAATATGACTGCCCAATGTCAATTCTCGTGTAAAAGCACTAAATCATATTTTTTTTTTTACAAATCCATCTCCTATTAATGGTTTCAATCTAATCTCAATGACTTCGTCAGCATCAAATTGATATGTCAGATCACACAATTTTGGACGGGGACTGTGTCATTAACAATGACTTGTTAACAATAAAATCATCTTGATATAGTTTATGAATATATACAAAACAAGGGATATTACAGTATGAACTTTAAAACCTGAAACACTTTTGTTCTTATTTTCATATGTAAGGCCACACCGACTTAATTTTATGGATGACATCCGCGCGCGCATTTGTTTTCGCCTATTCTCGAAAAAAAAAAAAAAAAAAAAAAATCTCCGACGAAGAGTCTCCACAGATCGGTTTTCTGTCCGGAACTTGCCGACTCATATTGTCGCAAAGCGCCGACTTGTCGTAAAACTCGTTTTGGACTAACTCAA